CATCGACAGCAGCAAGGCTGCCGTGCCCGTAGCCCGACGTAACGAGCGCGAGCGAAATCGCGTGAAATTATTAAATCTCGGTTTTGCCCGACTGCGTGCAGTGGTACCTTCGAAGGAGGGTGAACAACTGAGCAAAATTTCCACTCTAAAGAAAGCCATCTGGTACATTGAACATCTGGACCGGGTGCTCAATGAACCCCTAGAAGATGATGCAACTGAGACATCGGATGTTGATGATGATACAAAGGATAGGGTCAACTACAACAACTTCCGGATCGGGGTGGTAGGCACAGACTTGGGTTTTGCTGGATCCTCTTCCAACAACTTCACGACGACGTATCAGACTCCTGCCCACGTGACCAACGATAGCATGAGCAGATGTCAGGCGTACTGTGACACCTCTTCACCAGCCAAACCAAAGTTTCCGTCACCCATCCTACCGGAGCGCTGCTATCCGAGCTACTACTCCGAGCAGAGTTACTGCGAGTCCTCCGATACAGGTCCGCGAAGGGCGCTGGACTTCTTGACTCCAGTCAGGAGACCAGTGGAGACAAGTTCCGGCCTCGGAGACAGCGGCTATGGCAGTAGCATTCAGAGCAGCGGTCCCCCGCTGTCCAGAGAGAAACTACCGCCTTACGGTACTGCCTCTCCTTACGACTACGCCGTCTCGGGAACGGGACTGTCGATATCGACGCCACCAGTCGCTGTTACAAGTTGTCCCGGCTGGAATCCCCTTCGTCTGAGCGAGATCTCGCCCCTGATGACGCCAACATCCTCACCGTCGGCACCTCTACAATGGTCCATTTTTGAGCCTACGATGAGATGAAGCAAGGGCCACTGTATGTCTTCCGGCAATACTCTAAATAGCAACATTCGAAAGTGTCCCCGGTCTTAGAATGGCTGCGAGGCGTTACATTCTGAATTGTAGGATGCCCTGCGATCTTATGCCCACGGCAACGGATGACCCAAAGCGTCAGTTCAAAGAGGGTTAGTTGAACGGGAGGGGAGAGAGGAGAGGTTCGATTACACTTTGCCGCTACTTATTATCTTTTATCCTTAGCTTAAGCTGGCTGAAGCAGACCACACCTCCTTGTTTTTTTTTGTAAATTTACGCAGAATCCCCCCCAGATTGAAGAACACTTTATTTCATTGCCACTTTTGTTGCTGCCTTTATTACTTTTTTATTAAAACGTTTTCCACATGCACTTATAATTGAGACTTTCTACTTATATTCGCTTTCAGCTCTTTAAACAGGGCTTATGACTCAGGGTGAAAGAACTCGTTTTGCATTTTCTGGACAGCGACTTCGTTCAAAT